TTTTGTCTTTTTGAGACAGGGTCTCGCTATGCAGTTCAGGCTGGCCTTGAGCTCACTTTGTAGCCCAGGCTGGTCTCGAACTTGCAACGATCCTCCTGCCTCAGCCTCCCAAGTGCTGGGATTACAGGAGTGCGCCACCATGCCCAGCGAAAATCTCATTTCTTAACTTGTCACTTTCCACATTATCCAAATACAAGAGAGCCTACCATAATAAGGCTCAAGTAAAATCATTTATTTCTTTTGTTCAAAAATTTAAAATTCATTTACCAGTGAGGTAATACTACAAATACCAATGTGGAGTGAGCATCTTTAATTCATAAGTCCAGAATGGGAAATGTTCCAAAACCTGAAACTCTTGGAGCACCAATACGATACCACAAATTGAAAACTCCAGGTCATAAAACATTGTTTCTTATGCAAGATTATTAAAAATATATAAAGTTGCCTTTAGACTATGTATGTAAGATGTACATGAAACATAAATGACCCCCATGTTTAGACCTGAATCGCATCCCCAACATAGCTTATTCCAGAGGCAAATACTCTAAAACCTGAAATTCAAAGTGCCTCTTACCCATGCATTTTAGATAAGGGTTACACAACTTGGGGTAGGAATTGTGCCAGAATTGTGTTGAGTGTCTGGCATTTCAGACCCCACACCTGTGGATTATATTATTTATTCTTTTTTTGGGTAGGGCCTTGATACACAGCCTCACTGTGTAGTGCAGGCTGGTCTTGAACTCACTTTCATAGCGCAGGTTGGCCTCAAATTCATGGTGATCCTGCTGCCTCAGCCTCCTGAGTGCTGGGATTACAGGCTTGCACCACCACACCCAGCCATATTATTCTTAACCCTGTAAGGTGTAAATACCATTTCATATTATAGATATGGAAACTGAAGCATATTAGCAGGAGGTTAAATAATTAGTCCAAGGATCTGTGATACATATCTTGAGTCAAGAGTTGAATCTTAAAAAAAAAAAAAAGATTTGAATCTACATCTCTGAATTCAAAACCCTGTATCCACTGTGCTACTTGTAAATGAATTGCATTCCCTGGCTTTATTTCATTGAGAAAAAAAGTTACCACAGTTACTCATAGAGCTCAGCCCTTGCTGTTGGGCAGTACATGTTGGGAAAGCAGTGCTGCTCACACTGCCCGTTCCCAGGCAGTGTGCACCGTCCCTGCTGTCTCTGAAGACGGAGTGTGATAGACATGGGAATGTAGGGCCTCCAGAGACCCCACTCTTAAAGTTTAGACCTGTTAATTATCGCTGATTTTAAGCTAATTTAAGCTGTTAATTATTGCTAATTTCTGTTAATTTTAAGAAGTTTTATATGTTATGTTGTTTTATATGCTTCTCACATAGGCTTTTCACTAAAGTTTGCTTTGCCTTCACGCAGCAGTGAGTCCAGCAGCAGTTCAAGTGATGACTCTCCAGCCCGATCAGTTCAGTCTGCTGCAGTCCCAGCCCCCACCTCCCAGCTGCTTTCCTCTCTGGAAAAAGATGAGCCCCGTAAAAGTTTTGGGATCAAGGTTCAGAATCTTCCAGTACGCTCTACAGGTAAAATTTTACACGATTGTACACTCCTCTCAGCTATTGTCGAGAAATGACATAGACTGGGAAACTTGAATTGTATATTTGGTAGTGAAAGCAAGCTTTTCTTCGTGGTTCATTAACATTTAATGCCCAAGTACAGTGGTGGTGAACCTGTGGCATGAATGCTGTACCTGGCTGTTTGTGATTGAAAGCTCTACAAGGTTCGCCATCATTGCTAGTACAACTGCAGTGGAAATCAGTACAGATTCCTCATAAAACTAAAGCTAGAAACTGCAGTTGACCTAGCCGTTTCTCTTCTAGGTATCTTCCCAAAAGAGATGTTTGTTTTTGTTTTTTTGAGACAGGGTCTCACCATGTAGTTCAGACTGGCCTTGCTTACATTATTATATGTATGCATATTTATGCATAGACATACACATGTAGAAATAGTTTATGGTGGATGGTATATAAATATAGCCCCCCCCACCCCCCACCCCCGGTTTTGAGACAGTTTCACTGTGTAACCCAGGCTGGCCTTGAACTCACAGTGATCCAGTGATCCTCCTGCTTCAGCCTCTTACATGTGGGGATTACAGGTGTATGCCAACAAAAAAACCAAACAAAAAAAGCCGGGCATGGTGACACACGCCTGTAGTCCCAGCACTGGGGGGCTAAGGCAGGAGGATCAGGAGGATCTTGGTCTGGGCTACATAAATGAGTTCAAGGCCAACCCTCTATATAGAGAAACCCTGTCTCAAAAAAAAACAAAACAAAAACCAGGTGTGTGCCACTATGCCTGGATACACTATGCCTAGCATGGTTTATTTTTTTAATAAATATGTTTCTGAATTAAATATTTTGGTATTAGGAGAAATTTGGTGTGGTGAAATTATAGAAATACTAATGTTACTTTCATTTAGATTTATTTTATTTTATTTTATTTTATTTTATTTTATTTTATTTTATTGGTTTTTTTCCGGTACTGGGAATTG